AGTAAGGACGACGAAATCAATTCCAAGAAAATATAAATATCTTTGCGACGACGACGCCTTTTGTTTGCGAACGAAACGAAATATCGGACTTATCGTTATTATGAATTCAATACAACGCTTTTTTCGAGATGTCATATTGAATTTAAAAATAATCGGTGTCGTCGGATAGAATAAGTGAAATGGTATTAGAATAAATAATATTTTTAGGAGAAATCTAATCGTCTGTTAGGAGAAACTAAATAAAACAAATAAATGCGTACCGATGATACCCTTAGGGACATTTTATAGTAGAGTACATTATTCACGAGTTATTTAAAAATGCATTAGGGTTCACTATTGAACGATTGACCTAAATTATTTTTTTATGTCATAGCTATCATATGACTACAATTATGAGCATAGATAGCTCAGTGCCTGGGCGCTCTCCTTATTGATATACTTCAATATACTCGAGTAATCTGAGTTCGATCCCCGGTGCCGGCACTAATGAAATTATTAATTTTAAGTGTTGAATTATCACGTGCTCAGCGGTGAAGAAACACATCGTGAGGAAACCTGCATATTTTCGAAAATAAATATTTTTCGAAAATATGTGAAGTCCGCCAATCTGTGTGGTGAACTATGCCTCTGTACAGGCTTAAAATCAAGGTCTTACAGAACAAATAAAAGAAAAAATCTTAAAAAATTAAAAAAGTTGAATATTTAACGGTGTCCCCATACATACAATATAGTCTCAACTTTTTTTTCATCCACGCCCTGTACTACCACGCGTCAGCAACTCAACCATTATGGCACACACACACTAAAAACTTAGCCATCAATTAAAATGGTACCAAATTATTATGGCAGTATAATTGGTAGGTACGGGACCCTCAGCGCACGAGTTTGACTGGCACTTGACCAGTTTTTTTTTACTTAATATTCTTCCATGCTCGATCAGTTGGGAAAGTACTACTTGGGTACCTTTAAGAGAGCTTTTTTCTGTCTAATTTTCGGCATTGCATAGTTAAAATTTTTCATAAGCAGCGGTCATCACTTTATACCAGGTGAGTCGCTTGCAATAGTTTGCATTATTTTATATAAATAAAATCCATTGAGATGTGATTTCATTAGAGTTTGTTAGTTAAAAAATATTATATTCACGTTTCTGATTTCAGCTAGGTGCAGTAAACTTTAATTACTATTATCATATTCGAAAAACAAATACTGAAACGCCATCTCCGTGAATTTGTTGGTATCTTTTGTAATGAAGTAGCTATGACGATGAAAATAAGAACAGCGTTTATATATAGGTTCATATGACCATATTAAAATTATTAAATTCCCATCTCATAACATGTGTTATTTATCAATTATAGATTTAAAATGGATCTGAAAAGACGTTTTAAATTTATATGTCACATGTCACAAAAAACAGAAACTTTTAGTGCAGCGCCATCTGTCAATAGTTGTTGTCATCACAATGTTGACATCATAAGCATTTGGTCCATATTGCTATAAGTTGAAGTTTCTACTCATAGATGGCAATAAAATACATGCACGTGAATAGTTTTCAGCGCTTTTCTTAACCACGTTATTAAAGGAACATTACGCAGACAAATAAAATATAGCTAATTATTTAATGTCAATCTGTTTTATTTGTGCTCATATTAATTAGTATTGGTACAATTAGTACGGGATATTTGGAAAACTTTGGAAAACTTTCCCTTGAATCATTAAAGCGGATACTTAATTAAATCTTCATAAATAAGTGGAAAATATGATTTTTAGCTTTAATATAGTTTGAGAACACTTTTATTATTTTAGTATTAACTTGCTCGGTTATCTTCAATTCTGTTTGTACCAATTTGGAGTTTGTAAATATTTAATAAAAATAAAACACAAATAACTTTGTTAACAATTATAATATCATAATGATCATTTACAGAAAACTTCCTCATTTTAATGTTTTGATCTGGAAATATTAAGATTTCTGACTGCAGCTAACTTTTTCCTTAATAAAATGAAACAACAGTTTCTGTGTCACAGGATTAACATAGTTTGGTTATTGATATAAATACTAAACAATTGTTTCGAGACTTCCAAGGGACCTTTACATATGAATAAAAAACGAATTTTGGACTTGCATCATGAGGGAGGGGTAGTGTGGGACGACCCCACCAGATAGAGTGACGACCGGTGCAAATGTGCGGGAAGTCGATGGATGCAGGTGGCTCAGGATCGTACTTCATGGCAGTCTGTGGGGGAGGCCTATGTTCAGCAGTGGACTCAAACAGGCTGAAATGATGATGAAGATGGTGGAACAAACGAATTTTAATTCTTCATAACATTAGAATAGATGAGGTTTCAGAACGACTGAAAATAAATTAAAGAACTGGAACGCCCTTTCGCTATTATCGGATGAAGGATAAAACCATTAATCGTCCTAAACGCTCGTCTCCAACTCATAAAACGATTCTCTGGGTTGTAACCACGAAGTTAGCGGAGTACGCATTTTTGTGAACGAAAAAGATTGCTTTAAACAGAGGCATTATCTTCGGCGTTCTAAAAGAATATGAAATGAGACCTGAGAGGCCGTCGGCGAAAACTGGAAGTGTTCTTCTGCGTTTCGTCTGGTAAGTAAGGTAATCGGGGATAATGTTAAAAACAGGAAACACGTCTGCAACTCTACGGGTGTTGAAAATGTCCATGGGCGGCGGTAAGAAACAACAAATGAGAAAACAAAAGAGAAATTAACTATTATGAATATAACTATTATAAATGAAACTAATTTTACGGATTTGTTAACTAAACCCGGGTTGACTATGACAATTAGATGTCTTACACCTCAGTCTGTCCCGTGACCATGAACGCTGTAAAGGGTTCGAAACGTCGGGAATTAAAATTAAAAATAAAGGCGATAAATCCGTAAAATTAGTATTTTATATTATATTACCTATTTTGTTTATATTGATCCCGTGTGCCAAAAAACACATGAAGTGCAATTGTTAACTTTTTAATTAAATTACTTGAAATTATACGTAAGTGTCAAAAATATTGTTGGTTGCCATGGTAACGACGTGAATTTTGTGTAGCTTACGGGTGTCGCGGTTCGTAAAGATTCACTCTAATAATTTTTCCCAAACGCATAACTTCAAAAGTAAAGTGTACATATTTCAAAGATTCCTGCAGACTTGATAGATTAGAGGAGGGGAAACGGTAAACGGTATTAATTTTTTACCAATGTAACGCCTGTTTTTTATCACCGCCGCTTTCGTGGCCCGAGCAAATCCAATAGGCCGTCTTAAATCACAAGAATCTTAGCCGCGATGATTATTTCGCAAACTTTCAAAATGGGGGCCCCTCTCAATTGTCGCTCCTTCCATAAATCGAATTTAAAGGGCGGAGTACGCGCGGAACGGGAAACCGCTGGTATTTTTAAATAATGCTTTGAGACGCACTTAACGGAGATTTTCGTTGAATATAATTTACACGATATGCTCTGTTTACGGATTTTCCCTCGACTAAATTCGATAGAGTTTTAGTTTTCTTTAGAAAATTTCGTCATTGCTTGTCATGAAACGAGTGAGTCTGCTTTGATTCTAATATTTTAACTATTTCTGAACTTAAAATTTACAATCTTTATTGATCTAATATTTACAAGATTAAATCTATCTAAAATTACATATTATCTAATAAACCTAATCCACGCGGCATGGTGCCAAGAACGCTAGCTGCATTTCCTCGCTGAATAGTTATGCTTAACCTTTGAGCGAGAAAAGAACCAGCTCTCTTGTCACCAGCCGCGGCGTTAAGCCTTTCTGAACTTGAATATTAACAACTATTATAACGACAAACAGCATTAGTGGCTATATCACCGTCCGGGAACGCAGCTGAAAAGCAAGTGACTGCTGCTCCATGCGACCATGCGTCCCGTCGCTCGAGTAGATGACGTCATATCCGGTGTAGTGTTGCCAGCGACAACAGGCACATCTAGTTTTTTTTTAATGAACAAGTCGTTCGTTGCATTCTTGTATAGCAAGCTGTGAAAAAATATTGCGTATTGCATATTGCATAGTAAAGTATTTATGTGCGAAATATCTTGAATACCATTGTTTATGGGCTTCTATAGTAATTTGTTTGCATTCTTCAACAAAAAGACTTTTACACTTGAAAAATAATATATTTCGATTGTCATAATTTTAATATATTTCAATATATTTGTAACAAAATATAATAGAATATATGAAATATAGTCCCGGATATTTTGCTACACGGCTCCGTCTTGTTTAAGCGGTATTTACAACACCAGGTCATCGTCATCATCAATAATATATTCAACATAGGAATCGAACAGACTTACTGTTCGATTCCTATGTTGAATATAGACCTTCCTCACAGAGTGCCATAAAGCACTTAGCCACCTGCATCCATCGACTTCCCACAAACTTGCATTTTTAACCGACTTCAAAAAAGAAGGAGGTTTCTCAATTCGACCGTATATATTTTAATGTTTTTCATGTGTGTTCGCCGATAAGTTCGTCGTTTATGAACCGATGTTGATGATTTTTTTTTTTGGAAAGTATATATCCCAAGAATTATAATATATCCCAAGGGATCTGATGATGGTATACCTGAGAAATGTTTGAAGAAGGTGTTGACAATGTTTTAGTTTCCTGTTTGAAGTCGGTTTTTTTTTGTTAAAAATTATGATTTCCTACATCCTTAAACACGTGGTCAGTCAGCAATTAAAATTGCAAACAACAATTTCATTTGAAGTCTAATTTCTCGATTATTCAAAATTAAAACTCAAGCGCCCGGACAAAGAGCTCCGAAGGAACCCTAAGAATTACTACGCATGAATTTTTTCTTCAGTCGTAAAATGTAAAGTCCACGTGCATCGAATAAAAAAACCTAAACAAAGCCCATCATATAAAAGAGTACATAATTACATTTAGTGCCGTACATTCTGCAATCCGTGACATTGTTCTATTAACTGAAATATATTAGAGTTAAAAAAAATGCTAATTACTTTAGCGATCTCACTTACCGTTTTCAATCTCGTCAAATGTACGTACGTGATATCCGTATACGGGGACGTGAGAAAAGACGCGAAATTCTTCACGCAGACATACCCCTGGGTCATAGACAATATTGGGGGCGAAGTGGTCGTGGACTACTACCTTCTCGGCAGTGGGAGATACACTGTTCCGCAGATGTGCGCCTTGAACGAGTTAAGGCTGAATACGTTCCTGCAAGCGCAGTTCCTGAAGTGCGAAGCTGAGGGTAGGTAAAGGTTTACAATTCACTGGCAACAGGCAATTTAACAAACAGTTCGCTGTTTGGCAAGGCAGCATTAATACGTATAGAATAAAAGTACGGATAACGCGTTAATCAGAAGTTGTTGAAGAGCATAAAGAGAAACTCATTGGAATCTTTTAAACGGTGTGGAGTTTTATAAAAAGCAGAAACGTCTCGTATTTATACAATTTAGCGAAATTTATTATCATGCTTCTTACCGGTGATTGAAAGCGTTAGCGAAAAGTTTCAATTATAAGTATAAATTAAAATAAATAAAAATGATTTAACAGGTACCCCGAGCGAAATCTGCCTATGCGAAACCGGAATTGACTTGGCGAGGTTCAGACACTGCGTCCTCACAAAAGGCTCTCTCGCTAGCTTCGCATCCTCAAAATACAGCCAGCTGGGCATTGACGCCAGCCCCGTAGTGGAAATTGGGCCACGGAACACCGTCTTCGAAGTGGAGGCGACTTGGTTCCTGAAGAAGATCTGCACCATATTCGGCGACAACTTGCCGAGGGGCTGCGTCAAACCTTTCGCGTGCAACCACACAGAAATCGATTACGACAATAACAGGTTCAACTACATTGACTGCGGCAAATGCACTCACACGTACGAATATACATCAACTACGCCTACCGCAACATTTTTAGCGCAATAGTTTAACATTATCTTAATTAAAGTATTTGATATTAACTGTAAATGGAACTGTTTACACCCACGTGACAATGAGAAGTTTGATATATACGAGGACTATGAGAAACGTCCAAGTGCTTTGCACAAATGTTAAGGTTGGGTACTCTTTCAAATTTGTCTCCCTCCAACAAGATTCAGTTAAAGTATCTATGAAATTTAAATATAAAATCAGTAAAAAAAGTCGCGTAGATTCTCTTAACAAATCATATATTTTTTAAATATCATCCAGGTATTTCTACTAAATGAATCCATTCATACCCAACGGTTTAAATCGATCAAGCTTCTAAGGCGATAGAGCATGCCAACAATACGAGTAGTCGTCTTCTTCGTGGTCTTCATTACTGAAGGTCGTGTCCGTTCTGAAAAAATTTAAGAGAATCGGCGACGAGCTGCTTTCACGCCACTCTATCTTCGGCTTTCTTCAAGGCAGTGGAAACAGGAAGCCCGGTTATAAGCTTCACTTGATCAGACCACCGGGTAGGTGATCGCCCAGGTGGTCTTTTGCCATCCACTTCCCCAACTACAACTACTTTTTCAAAATTATCCGGCTGCCTGCGGGCGATGTGACCATAATAAATTAGAATTCGTTGACAGCAAATTGTGGAGAGCCTAGTCTTAATGTTTAGTTGGTCAAGAATTGTTGGTGCATTTCGCTGTCCACGGTATGCGCAACATTCTTCTCCAACACCACATTTCAAACGCTTCGATTTTTTTCCGGTCCACTGCGCGAATTATAAAAATAAAGCAAGAAACTACGCAAATATTTTAATTCATAAAACTAAAAATAAATATATTAAGTCTGAAATTCTATCAAATATGAGCAATATGAGACAACTTAGGCAGATTCTAAACCGAATAACCGGAAGACTTAAACAATCCATTGACGATATTATTCAGAACTCATTTAAAAATATGAATACATCTTGTAAAGATATAGCTAATAAATTCGCACAAACGTTCGACAACAGCATAAACCAAATTGTCCCTAAATGCTCGAGACCATTGTTAAACACCTCAGAATATAAATATTCCGCGAATGTTACCATGCGACTAAAGCCCGCAAATTCTTGCTCAGTTAAAAAAATTAGAACTAGAATTAATTAAATAGAACTAATTATAACTAGAAATTAGAATAGATAACATTAGAGCCATTGATATAAAAATGCTCTGTACAAAAATCAAAATGGTAATTGCCAATTTAATTAACCTATGTGTACAAAATAGTGAGTACCCATCTAAACTAAAAATAGGACTTGTAAGGCCTATTCATAAAAAAGGTAGTAAGCTGGATTATAACAATTATAGACCAATTACTATTTTGCCTACCATAAGATAAAATCACTGAAAAATACATATGTAACGAAATAAATACATTCTATGAAAAAAATAAAATACTGACAAACAATATGGTTTTCAACCAAAAAAGAACACCACCCAACTTTTGTCAGCGTTCACAGACAGTATTCATAACCATCTAAATGAAAAAAGACATGTGCTAGTAGTGTTTATAGACTATAGTAAGGCTTTTGATGTTCTGAGACATGACAGGCTATTAGAGTGTCTTCATGACAGCGGGATTAGAGGTAAATTACTGGACTGGTGTGAAGACTACCGTAACGATAGAAAGTTCATTGTCAAAATCAGCGACGATATCAGCGATACAGTCAGGGTAACGAAAGGCACGGCTCAAGGTTCGGTCCTTGGGCCGCTACATTACCTCACTTATGTAAATAGTGTGGCTAACCTAATAAAAAAGTGTGAGATCTACCAATTCGCTGATGACACCTGCCTCGTAGCTGCGGGACAAAGTGTCACCGAGGCATAAGAAATATTGCAACAGGACTTTGACTTACTGATCAAATGGTCGCACGATGTCGGCTTCATCTTAAATTTTAGTAAGAAAAAACTCATGTATATCAGCTCTAGTCTAAATAGAAGCTCTTTTGTACCAAAAGTAATAGCTCACTCTCATGAATGTATGCATGACAACTGCACAACTAAGAACATGTCTTGTAAATGTGATTCGATAGATCTTGTTGATAGACAAACATACTTAGGACTTATCATAGATAGTCGACTCAATTGGAAAGCACATATTACTGCAGTAAGTGACAAACTAAGATGTATTCTGGCCAAATTTTCTATAATAAAATATAAAATTCTATATCAAACGCTATTACTACTTTATAAGTCACTAGCCAAATCGGTAATATCATATGGACTGTCGAGTTACGGCAGAACATATAAAACTCACCTTGATGAAATATATATTCTCCAATTACGTATACTAAAAACAATAGTACCAATCAACATAAAGAATATAAGAAATTTACAAATGATTACCATAAACTATTTGAATTTTGTAAAGTTATACCTATTCATGAAAAGATTAAACTAACATTGTTATCCGAAGAATTTTTCAATAATAATCAAAAGAAAACGAAAACATCACATAGTAACGAAATTAAAACTCGTAGTGTCACGAACGCAAAGTTGTTGCTTCCAAAATATAGAAATTTACACGGTAAAAGAACATTAAAGTATATTATACCCTACCTTATTAACCAACTGCCTACATCGTTAAGAGAAAAAATAACTCACAAAAACATAAAATTCAAACTAAAACAACATTTTATGCAAAATATCAATAGTTAAATATAGAAAAAAATAAATAAAAACAAATTAAATTAAAACGTTAATAAGTACACCCTGTATAAGCACATATGTTTTACGTTACCTTGTCTGTTTTTTCATACTAACAAAAGCGGCCAGAGCGGTCACCGATGTTCGTCCACTTATATTAGTATCTACCCACTGTATTAATTATTTACTATTTTTCAAATTATCTTCGTCTTAATATTAGTCTTGTTAAATGGTGATTTGTGCTTTATGGTAGTAACTATGTATACACGATTGATGATACTGTTTCACGGTAAAACTCTTATGAGTTTATGTTTGTATCAGTTTAATAAGTTTGTATTTTTTTTATACAAATAAATTAATAAAAAAAAATTGACCAAGATTCGGAGTCGTACAGAAATATCGCGAATTCCAGCGTCTTCACAAGTCTCATTTTGGGTTTGTTGGAGATATTTCTGTCTCGCCAGATCCTTCACATTTTGCCCATGACCGGTTTGCCCATTTGCGTATGTCTCCGAATTTCTCTCTCGCACCCCCCCCTGATCACTGTTAATTGAGCCCAGATACACAAAGTCGTCCACACACTCCAGATCTGCAAGTTCTAGTTCGTACGAGTAGTTTGTCTATCATAATTTCGCTAGGGAAATATCCAATTTTTTTTTTATTTTTTTTTTATATAAAACATTGCTTACAACACAGGAGGAGGATAACATTATCCTGTGTTGTAAGGACGTTTTACAAACATAAATTTCACGTGGACAAACACCCAGATGCGAAACAACTATCTGTGGGTTACACAAACAGTTGTTCCGTGTGGGGATCAAACCCACGACCCCCGACGCCGAGGCCAACACCTTGGCAACTGTGCCACGGAGTCATCAAAAAACAGGTACACTTCGGGGAGAATATACCTACGCTCGAGAAACATTAAATTTCCTGTGGTATCGATGGCGAAAACTTGATGTTTGCGTTTAAATTAAATGAACACAAACCAACATTTTCACGACACAAAGCAAAAGCAATGGCCCCGGGAAATTTGCTGGCAAACGATTTGACCCGAATCGATGCTAACGGTCAGTTCATTGTGTCGATACGAAAATTGGATACGAACCCATTGTCTGACAACAATAAACCTCGCTTTCGCGTTCAGTTTAATGCCACTATGTATTTGTAGTTATCAAAATGAACGTAATGCAATCAATCCGTGGTTGGCAGGGAATAAAACGAATCTGAGCTTGATACTGTCTCGATTTTCAGATCTTGTTTATATCTCGCCGTCACGAAACTAACGTGCCGAAATAATGTAATGTTTTTGAACATCTATAAATTTATTCACACTCAGGTGAAACGAAATTACTTTTGCTGTAAACTACGTATTAAATAACGGGCACAACGAAATTAATTAATCGCTTGAGAGTTGATCAAAATAAAAATTGGAAAAACACCATCCAAGTGCGAGTTGAACTCGCGCACGAAGGCTTCCGTACCATCTATAAAAGCGGCAAAAAAGTTCTGTTGTATGAGAGCCCCACCTAAATATTTTTTTTTCGTATTTGTAGTTGTTGTCTGGAACGGAAATACATCATCTGTGAAAATTATAACAGTCTGAGTATCACGGTTCATTTTTGTTTTTTTTATGTGAGAAAGTGGCAAACGAGCTGGCGGTTCACCTGATGTTAAGTGATAATCGCCGCCCATGGACATTTGCAACACTCGTATGGTTGCAAATGCGTCGCCACCTAATGAGATACAGCCTGGTGACAGACGGGCAGACAGACAGATAGACAGCGGAGTCTTAGTAATAGGATCCCGTTTTACCCTTTGGGTAATCGTAATAAATTTTTATTTACCATTATTTTCTTAGATGAAATTAACAATTTGTTAGTTACTATTACACAAGTAGTTTGACACACACATGATTAACAAATACTGATAACTTAAATCACGCACGTCTACACTAAAGTAATGTACGTACGAAGAAACTGAGTTAAAATGTTGAATGCTTCTATGAGGGATTTAGTAAAAGTAGCTAAGTTGGTATCAGTAGATCGGGCCTTACACACTTGTGTTGATGTTTCGTAACAAATTTACTGAGGCAGTCATGAAATATGGGGCAGGTCAAAGCTTCCAGTACATTCGGGAAAGTGGACAAGATTGAAATGGTTCTATAATTATTCCTTTAACAACTTAATGTAACTTGTTATTGAGGCTTACCTCATCCCTGCATATGATATGGTGCCAGTATTATAAAGGCCTTAAGATGCACTAAGTGCAAGTAGTGACTCCCAAGTCAGGTCACTTATAATTTGTAGGACACACTCG